GTTTTCTAGCTCAAAAATTTTAAAAATTTAGTTTTTTGAAATTGACTAAAATGAAATTTACTTTATTCCGAATTTTCAATAAACCAAATGACTTTGATATTAATAAGTATTTGAAAGTATACATTATATACAAACTATAAAATCCTACTTCATAAATTTAGATATCAAACATGACACGTTTATGCGTTTTATTAATTATGCTTTTTATCGCATGATATATTATCTTATCCCCACTTTTGTATAAATTATTCAAAATAATATTTCAGTGAAGTTCCACGGAGCGCAACAATATTATGAACAGATTGAGATATATACTGATGGCATAATATGAACAACATAATAATGAAACAATATGTTCTGATCATATTGAGAAATACCAATGCGGCTTATCAATTAGAGTTACATAAAACAAGATAGGCAAGTGAGACAAGGCTGTATATTGTCGCCTTTACTTTTTAACTTATATTCGGAGGAAATATTTAAGGAAGCCATAATGGAGACAACCGAAGGTATTATTGTGAATGGAGTAACCGTTAACAATATTAGATATGCCGACGATACCTTAGTCCTTGCCAATTGCGGAGAAGACCTTCAAAATCTAATGAACAAAATAAAACAGACTTGTGATCAGTATGGATTAAAACTCAAAGTCAAGAAAACTAAATATATGATAGTTAGCAAACAAAATTATATACAGGATGACGGTATAAAAGTCGGAGATGCCACACTGGACAGAGTAGAGAAACTCGTGTATCTCGGCAGTAATATCAATGAGCTGGGATCCAACAGCAGAAATTAAAAGCCGAATACAACAAGCCCGAACTGCCTTTGTAAAAATGAGAAACGTACTTTGCAGTCACGATCTTAGCATTGACCTTAGAGTTCGTATGACATCTTGCTACATCTTTCCTGTCCTGCTGTATGGAGTGGAAGCGTGGACTCTAACTGAGGCTATGCTTAAACGCTTGACAGCCTTTGAGATGTGGGTATACAGACGACTACTGAAAATAAGCTGGGTCGACAGAGTTAGAAATGAGGAGGTCCTTAGACGGCTGAGCCAAACAAGACAACTGGTCAATATAATAAAGAAACGCAAGCTGGAATACTTCGGTCACATTATGAGACACCCTGTAAAATATGATCTTTTACATCTGATCATTCAGGGAAAGATCCAAGGTAATCGTGGTCCTGGTAGACGAAGAACATCATGGCTGAAAAATCTAAGGCAATGGTATGGAAAATCAACTACATCGTTATTTAGAGCTGCTCTCAATAAAGTCACGATAGCGAATATGGTAGCCAACATAATATCCAACGATCGATAACGGTCATGGAACTAGAAGAAGAAGAAACCAAGATAGAAACCAGGATACATGAGACCAATGTTTTAAGACGTTTATAACAACTGTATGATTTAAGATATTAAACAACGAGATCAAACGAAATACAAAAAAAAAACAGAAAGGATTAAGCGCTCATTCGGAGGCATCCATACATTGGGTTGAGTATTGATATTACAAACATATATAATGATATTGATCCATTGATATGGAAGTACATATTTTCAAAGTTATTACCACACGACGGTGGTCTATTAGAGCAAAATGATCTATATTTAAAAAAAAAGCATATACTTTTGTTTGCATAAAATCCGGTAGGTATTTATCGAACAATATCTTTTATAATTTTGCATGGTTTGGAAGACATAGCTTTCAGAGTTATAAATCCGCGCGCAACGTCTATTATTTAAACTGTATTTAAGTGTTATTTTCATCTTGTTTTCTTTTATTTTTTATAATTACAAATAAGAATATGTACATATACTAAATTTACATTTAACTCATTATCGAAAACGTATTGAAATAAAAAGAAGTATGTCATGCATTTAATTGTAGTTGCCTTCGATTAGGAGCACTACAATACCACAAAGCTGAGTTGAGCTTAAAAAACTAGTCATGGTTATTTTACTTCCACTAAAACAGTGTTACAATTGTTGCTTTTCACTAATATATTTCAATTTTTATGTTAAACAAAAATTTAAATATTTTCAATTCTTTTTAAATTATAATTTAAATTATACTATACTGAATCATACATACAGTAGATCCGCTGTTTCTTTGCACATTGTCAACATTCGTATTAAGGCGGACTCCCACTACTCGTATATTTGGCAAATATTTGTTACTTGCCTATATTTGCCATGTAGTGAGAGTAGTTCACTCTGCTATTACTTGTACAATTATTTGCCACTTGCGAAGTCCCGCCGATTGTTGGTAAAAATACCACGAGTCAAAGGAGTCATAATGGAAGCAAAAAAACACTGAAGGACGACGTTTGAAATTGAGTTCAAACCTTTGTGTTTCTGTCAAGCACGCAAATATAGGCGTACTTGAAATTGAGTTCGAAATTTGGTGTATTTGGCAAGTAGGCAAATATTTGTATACTTGCCAAATATACGAGTAATGGGAAACCGTTTTTATAGGAAAAAAACCAAAACGTGAGCCAAATTTACGTCGGGTATAAGAATTAGAAAATGGATAATATTACAATGGATGTTTTTCTCTTTTGTTTAATTGATTGCATTTTTAAAACTGGGTATATATTTATGAACGTAATTTTCCTAGTTTTGGAAACCTACAGATTGTCCAATAACGTCTACAGTAAATAAATATTTAAACCGTAGTAATCAGAAATAAAAGTGTTTTCATTGCATATAAGCAAATATATGGGTTATGACCTTCTGATTTAAAAAACTGAATAGAAATCTACCTCAGGGCTTCATCATCTTGATCATTTTGTTTATTCAGTGTTAAATATAGTTTTCGGAATTAATTAATGACTTTGTTTTTACTGTCGAGGAGGAGATTGATGGATTCAATATGGAAGAGATTTGAGCCTCATAACTAGTATTATTTATACAAATAACGAAAACTGTAATAATTATAAGAAACCTATGTATAATCATTTAACAATAGAAAACTTTTGAGCTGGGTAAAAAAACAATTTATTTTTTAATTTAAGCATTGTGTACAATCATAAATTTAAGATTTCTTTACTCTCAGAATATGAGCTACTCATATTACCATTGTCAATTATGATTAGTTGAATCTTAATGTCAACCATATTTTTTTCTCGGATATAAGTACCACTTTTTAATAATTTCATTAGTATATTTCATTTAATAATAATATGATTTGCAGTTTGCCTAAATTTAGTTAATAGCGTTGAATTCGTAGTGATAAGGAGATAGTCTCAACACTCATGGCCGTGTTCTCTTAGTAGTTAATCAATTATATATACATTCCCTTTTCTGTTCATTTTTATAGTTCAGATTTTGTGAGTTTTGGTTCATACTTGATCTTTTTTGTTGCCAACTATGTAATAATTTCCATTCTAGATGAAACAGTGGAGCTGCTTTTCTAAATGAATACTGATATTAAATAGTATCTATTACAGTTAATGGTAGCTCTTCTAAACTGAGAATGTATTGTTCCCTTATTCATTTAGTGAAAATTTCATTGTTCATTTTCCCATGGTAATCACCTACTTTAGATTTTGAGTAAAATAATAATCTTGCTTCCGTAAAAATTTTTGTCGAAGAACCATTGTAAATAATTATAAAACCTGGTTCTGGTTTACGTACACTTTTAACACTGTTGTCTGACCAGGAAATTGTTTTATTTCCCTTCGAATAATTCCACGTTTCGTCAAAAAAAAAAACGAGGTATCTGGAATGAACTCTATTGAAATTTTCCATATAGTTACGAAAGAACTTGGCTCTTAAAGCAGAAATACTGGTGCTCTTAATTGATGCTTTCCAATTATGTTCCATTTCATATTAAAATCGTAATTCCTTTAACAAATAAATAAATACTTTGTTTTTATAAAACTATAATTTATTTCAAATTTAAAAACTTACAAGAAAATTGACTTAATGTCAATCAATGCATTCATTTCCAGCACAAATTTCCTTTAACTACTTTTATCATTCTTTTCTTAGAACATATATTTATAAAAAGTATTGATTAAAAAGTACCTTTTGGTTAATTATCAAATTCAGATTGAAGAAATTGGTACTTACTTTGTTGGTACATGTCGTATATTGCGCTGCCATTTTTGATCCCCCCAGAAAGATTGATTGTCTTGGTTTTTGCACTAGATCTGCTTTTGCTCGCCTATTCTTTTAAATTGTCCAATAATATGTATTTTGATAAAGCAATGTACACTTCAATATATTACCTGATGAAAATGGCTCCAAAGGCCTTCCATTCGTTTTTTATAGTTAGAAATACTCCAACACATTTAACATAAGATATTGTGCTTGAGAATTTAGTGGTTTGCTAGGCATACTCTAAAAAAATAATACATCAAACATTAAGGTAACGGTTAGTTGTTATAATAACTGTTTGTTAAAAATATGTATATTTAAAGTATGAAAAAGGATTGAATATTTAAATGACCTGAAAATAATTTTAAACGCTGTCAAAACAAAACCAGTAGGTGAATCAATCACAGACCATTGTCCTATGGCTGTCTTTGTTCGATGTATGCTGGCGTATATGGACAGGCGGCTTAATTTCATCGATTTTGTTTCTGAGTAGGAAAGGAACGTAATATAAAAAAATAATTCGTGAATAATGCCTTATTTGTGTAAAGATCCAGCGGAGGGACTGTATATAATTTAGTACTGTAGTAAATATAAGACATCTGAACTTTTATGACACTGTCTAATTCAAAGAAATTACATTTTAAGAGAAGGTTAAAGGGTATTTTAGATTTAAATATTTAGAGATCACAATTTATACTATAAATAAAATAGTCATCGACTTTTAAAAACTAACTTATTTAACAAATAAATAAGAATATACGAAAACGGGTTAAATCAACTATTTAGTTTGCCTTATTCATATTGTACATATTTTTATTGCTATAACTAATATCTAATTGCATGCTCAGTCAATGCTTAATAATTTCCTTTTTCACTAAAGCAAAAATTTTAGCCGGAACATCATGGGTCAACTGGGATTCCATGTCCAACCTGACGGAATCGTGACTCTTGTAGAAAGCGCAGGCCAAGCCTGGCAGGCGGGTCTTCGACAAAATTCCCGTCTTGTAGAAATCTGTAAAGTAGCTGTGGCCACCCTCACCTACGACCAAATGGTGGACTTGCTGAAAACGTCCATAACCGTTACTCTAACTGTGATACCACCTCTTCCTGACGGAAACTCACGTAAGGGATGTACCCTTCAAAACTGCAAGTACAATGAAGCTCATTACGAAGGTGATTACGACAATACGACGAACGAAGAAAACAAAAGTAAGAAAGCGCCCCAGATTCAGCAAGCCGTTTCTGGAAACCATAGGCGAATCTACGAGAGAAGTTTTTCGCCTCCTAGAAGTAGTAATAGTTCTGGATATGGGACTGGTAGCAGCAGTAAGTCTTTTCATGGCCCGGAAGCAAGGTTTCAAAATAACATAGAGGTAAGTTAATTCTAATTTAACTACAATATTAGTGTCAGTTTTTAGCTAAGCTTTATTAAGTTAATTCTATTAACTAAATGAAATGAGGTTGAATGCTCGAATAAATGAACTTTGAAAATAAGGCTATTATCGAGCACAAGTTAATTAAATCTAGCCCAAGTACTTTCGCTTAAAATAGCATCTTCAGGGGCATCTGAAATAAGCCAAGAAAACGTTTTTTAGATGAAGTAAATTAGTTAACTTCGATAAAAAACTCGAAGTTAATGGATGAAAAAAAAGATTTTTGAGATTAACGTTTTAGACTTACTTTGTCAAAATGTAAACTATCCGGCAAGCGTAGAATGTGGAAACATTAAAAATAACATAAAATTGTACAAAACACTACACTAAAACGAGGACAAACAGTTTAAAATTACTTAAAGATTCTACGCTACATTCTCTGTCAGTATCTGGAGGGATAATGATCTAAGCGGAAATGATACGGTGACATGTGACATATGACAACTTTGATAGGCAGTCAAAGTTATGGATCTGTGATCAGCAAATATTAAAATTCTGTATAAGTTGTCATTGGCCAAAGGTCCAACTAGAACTACTACTGAAAAAATCAGCTGATGAAGTATGACATATAGAATATTTTGATTTAAACTAGATTGCATAATCCAGATCTCACACTCACACCCGTCTGTAATAATAAGGTTGTAGGTTTGAGGCTAAATGAAGTGTACATAAAGTGTGAATGAAAGAAATAGACCAAACGATCTATTGGACAGTGGGTAGTTGACTACAATAAAATGGTCTACCAGGCACTGTCAATACTGCAAAACGAGAAGAAAATTGACTATGAAATTGAAATATTAAAATTAGATCAGAATTGAAAGCAGTGTGTAAATGGGTATAGTTCAAGTAGTTCAGTTAAACCTCAAGCCAATGGGGGAACTATAAAACTAATATGTAATAGCATTACTAAAGACCAACTGACCAACAGGTGTTGAAATATAAAACTGTGGAATTAGTATATGTAGATTATGCAGAGGTATGAAGAGTGAAATCAACTCCAACTGTGGATCAATTTAATCTGAGCAAGCTAGTTGTGTAAATTATTAAATACAATAGTAATGCTGAACAGAGCTTGAAATTGGTAGATTCTTAATGTATTAACTCAGTGCAGGAAGTCTAGACAGCCGAGCTGGGTCCACTACGAGGTGAAGCTGTAATAAAGTTTTTAAAAATAGGTTTAAATTTAGTACAGTTTAAATTAATTTGAGTATTAAGACAATTAGAGTTTCCATTCGTTTCCTTTGTGATCTCCAAATCTTCCAATAGATCCAACTCCAAATAGTTTTTCTTTCTACTGATGTCATGCAAAATAGACGACCCAGTATTGATGTTGAAATTGTGTTTGCTAGACTCTAAATGTTGACCAAAACTTGAAGAGTTGAAGAGAATTCTCTTTTACTTATATTAGTAACATTTCTAATAAAATAGCTAAACTTTTTACTTCTACAGTTGAAAACATCAAAATTTCCTTTAGGTCACACAACACTGTAGGTTCCTTTTTAATTAACACCAAAGACATGCTGAACACACTTGACAAAAGTGGTATTTACAAATTAAAGTGTGATGATTGTGATGCCTCTTATGTAGGCAGAACCATTAGAAAGCTATCTACTAGAATATCAGAACATTTAAAAAGACCAAACTCTTCAAGTTTTAGTCAACATTTAGAGTCTAGCAAACACAATTTCAACATCAATACTGGATCGTCTATTTTGCATGACATCAGTAGAAAGAAAAACTATTTGGAGTTGGATCTATTGGAAGATTTGGAGATCACAAAGGAAACGAATGGAAACTCTCATTGTCTTAATACTCAAATTAATTTAAACTGTACTAAATTTAAACCTATTTTTAAAAACTTTATTACAGCTTCACCTCGTAGTGGACCCAGCTCGGCTGTCTAGACTTCCTGCACTGAGTTAATACATTAAGAATCTACCAATTTCAAGCTCTGTTCAGCATTACTATTGTATTTAATAATTTACACAACTAGCTTGCTCAGATTAAATTGATCCACAGTTGGAGTTGATTTCACTCTTCATACCTCTGCATAATCTACATATACTAATTCCACAGTTTTATATTTCAACACCTGTTGGTCAGTTGGTCTTTAGTAATGCTATTACATATTAGTTTTATAGTTCCCCCATTGGCTTGAGGTTTAACTGAACTACTTGAACTATACCCATTTACACACTGCTTTCAATTCTGATCTAATTTTAATATTTCAATTTCATAGTCAATTTTCTTCTCGTTTTGCAGTATTGACAGTGCCTGGTAGACCATTTTATTGTAGTCAACTACCCACTGTCCAATAGATCGTTTGGTCTATTTCTTTCATTCACACTTTATGTACACTTCATTTAGCCTCAAACCTACAACCTTATTATTACAGACGGGTGTGAGTGTGAGATCTGGATTATGCAATCTAGTTTAAATCAAAATATTCTATATGTCATACTTCATCAGCTGATTTTTTCAGTAGTAGTTCTAGTTGGACCTTTGGCCAATGACAACTTATACAGAATTTTAATATTTGCTGATCACAGATCCATAACTTTGACTGCCTATCAAAGTTGTCATATGTCACATGTCACCGTATCATTTCCGCTTAGATCATTATCCCTCCAGATACTGACAGAGAATGTAGCGTAGAATCTTTAAGTAATTTTAAACTGTTTGTCCTCGTTTTAGTATAGTGTTTTGTACAATTTTATGTTATTTTTAATGTTTCCACATTCTACGCTTGCCGGATAGTTTACATTTTGACGAAGTAAGTCTAAAACGCTAATCTCAAAAACCTTTTTTTTTCATCCATTAACTTCGAGTTTTTTATCGAAGTTAACTAATTTACTTCATCTAAAAAACGTTTTCTTGGATTATTTCAGATGCCCCTGAAGATGCTATTTTAAGCGAAAGTACTTGGGCTAGATTTAATTAAGTTGTGCTCGATAATAGCCTTATTTTCAAAGTTTAATTCTATTAACTACTATATCAAGTAATATAATTTGAATTTTGGGAATATTTTGATTATTTTGAATTAAAATTGTGATTAATTCCCAATATATTATGCAGTAGTTAAAACATAAAATATTACGAGAAAATAATTTCAGAATAACTCGTATATTAAGTTAATTCTAATATTAAATGAAAAATATATTATTACAGTGTTTTGTTATAATCTTTTGAGTCATTTATTTCAGTTTAAGATTGCATCTTGTTAATTAACCGTTCAACCATTACAATTAAAATAGTCCTTTCATAAAATAAAAAGATGGGTACTCGCACCCAAAGCGAGGTTAGATTAGATTATGTGAGGTCGTTAAGACCATGCAGCTTAACCTCACTTACTTCGACCTATAGAGATCTTTTGTGCATACCTTAATCGAGTTGAACTCTAGAATGCCAATGCTTCTGATGAATTTAATTAGTTTCCTAGGTGACTTGTTTCCTATGTCAGAAGGCACTAGACTGATGACTCCTAGGAATTTTAGTCGTTTGCAGAACAGTCCTACGCATTTGCATAGTATATGTTCTGCCGTTTCTTTTTCGTTGTCGAATTTGACTGACAGTGTCGGCGTGTCCTTAGAATGCAGTGGAATTTCTTCCAAGATTTTTAGGTGGCCAACTAGATCTCGTTTCATTATCATTTCTTCGAGATTTGTGTTTGTCGCAGTTTTAAGGCGGTAGTTATTACCTTCTTCTTTATGCAGAACTGCAAGGGAGGAAGGTTCAGCATCCCCTCTAGAGGTGCAGTGGGGCATGTTGACATTACCCTTGTGATTCCCAGACAAGCCAGCCAGGCAGTTTTTACAGTTTTGCGTTAACTGTTGCTTGTTGTGTTTTTCTCCACCATACGAGTGATGCGTATGTGAAAATGGGCCTACTAATAGTTTTATATGACCAGAGGAATATTTTCGGTTTTAATCCCCAAGTCTTTAAAAGTGTCTACGGCAGGTCCAACTTGCCACCAAGGCTCTGGGTAAGATTTTTTCAATATGTTCCAGGTGAGTTTTCGGTCTAGGATTACCCCCAGATAATTTACTTCTTTGGAATAGTCTAATGTGATGCCATTCATAATTGGAGCCTGTAAATTATATTCACGTCTCCTTGTGAAAGGTATCAAAGTAGTTTTGCTGGGGTTGACATTTAAGGCTTCCTTCGAGCACCAACTTTTAACTTCGTTAAGAGCAGTTTTCATGAGACCAGATATAGCTTGGTCATGCATGCCCTTAATTATAACAACTGGGTCGTCTGCGTAACCTTGAGTTGTAAAGGAAGAATCGTGTAGTTTAGGGAGGAGGTCATCCATGACCATAGCAGGGGCGATAGTACTCCCTCTTGAGGGCAGCCCTTTACTGCTGTCCATTATTATGCAGGACCATATCTCTAGACCATTGAAATGGAATACTTGGTGAACAAAAATTATATCCCACGTATATTTTATTTTTTAAGTTAGTGATTTCAGCAATTTTCTTCGATTATTTCGCAAACCGCTCTAGCAAAATTTGATATCTAAATTAATTCGTTAATTGAAGGCTTTTGTTTTAAACATACTTTGAACTTAAGTGAAGACTGTTTTTTTACTATAAGTATATTAACCTTCTAAGTTTGCTAACGGCAATCCATGTCATACGGATTATTCGGTCTACTTAGGTACGTCTACGTTAGTAAATATATTTTCCCACCGTTTCTATTGCAAGTAACTGGTCCTTTCTCCAAAGTAAGAATCTTTGTCTTTGTAAGATTGATTTTCAAGCCAAACCTTTCCGAAATTATTATATTATGACAATATCGCTTGTAAAGCAGAGATTTCTCAGGCATCGTCAGTCAATATTGAACCCTTTTTGCTCAAGTTGAAAACGTGTATTTTGTTAGATTTTGTATTTTCGTCAATTGTTATTTCTAATATAGCGTTTCTGTACCAGTATATATTTTCG